TTCTTGCATTAATCATTCCCGTTGCTGCTCCCGCTGCTGGCGGAACGCTTGTTCGTAAATCTTATTCATCGCGGTGTATGTGTTGCATGGTATGTGGACCACAATTTTTGCTCAATCCCCGAGGGGGGGGGTATTCTCCCCCCGGGGTAGATCGGTTTTCACTAAAATTACCAACACCCCCGCTACTTTGATTACCCACCGGGTGGGGGGTTGTGATTTCAGAAAATTGGATCCTCTCCTCGGGGGAAAATGAAAGCAACTTACGATACTCATCCCTGAACTTGCCCTGAACCTCCTTCGCTACCGTCCGTTCAGGGGGACATGGGCGTGGGCGTCGGTACTCGCTTTCACACCGGTAGTTGGGAGGGAAGCGGAGGGGGGTATGGAACCATTTTTAGGTGAATTTGGATGACGAGTGCTTGACGGCGTCATACGACGTCCACATGGACGGGGAGACGACAGAAAAAACCTTCCCCGCGAAGCAAGTTGAGGACGCCGTATGGTATGCTAGAAGACTTCACCAGAGGGCACCATCCGGGGGGGGAGAGAAGGACTCTAAGCAAGCGGGCGGTGGGTCAAGCGGGGGAAAACAATGCAAGGGTGGGGATGCTTCTGGACCTCACGGTAGTCCGGGAGTGGATGGCACGACGAATAATGAACGGAACTCCGAACGGGATGAGGGGTCCGATAAAGAAGGTAGTGGGAATGGTGGCGGCGACAACAAACGGAAGCATGGGTCGGCGGGGGATGGGAAGCGGAAGCGGCGGTCGGCGGGCCGCAGGGAGCAGTCGGGAGCGGGCGATGGGACGGGCGAAGGAGGGGGTGGGCGTGGTCCCGGTTGGGAAGATGACCCGGACAAGGAAGATGACCCGGATAAGGACCCAGGCTCGGGGGACGACGAAAACAAGGAGAAGGTGAGCGGTACTTCTACCGTCCTGTCTGTGTCTTGCTCGGATGGCAACAGCAGAAACGGCGTTTTCTTTTCTGGTGGTGCCCGGAACCAAGGGGAAAAAAGAGAGACAAGGGGAAACCCCGATAATCTACAGTACAGTATGCCCTCCTGTCAAGTTCTGAGATCCTGTATAGGAGTTGTGCGATTAAGGTTTTTCCTACCATATATGTTGGTGTTCGGGTCGCCAAAGGTCCGCAACCCCGATTAGCTCGCGACTTTGTGCAACAGATGCGCAGAGAGAGTCATATACATGACAGAAGTAATGACAGCAGCCTGCTATGGTCGCCGCATGGATAAAGGAAAAAGGAACGGAAAGGAAGAAAGGTTCTACAGAAAGTTTTCCGCGTTCCGGCGCTTGTTGCATGTGTTTGACTCGACGTAACTTCACGACCCCGACGCCGATTCATTCGCAAGGTTCAGCCGAGTGAGAGAGAGAGAGAGAGAGAGAGAGAGAGGGAGCGAGCTGCAGCTCGTAGTTTTAAGAGCCAAACCTGCTGTGGCCTTATTCGCTGTTCCTCTTCTTGGATTTCCTAACTTCATGTTAGATGCTACGCTGCTGCTGCTGAGCGTGTGGATGCTACTACCGTACGCAGCTGCTGCTGCTCTTCTTGCAGAACTGCAGTGCACCGATCAACGTTTCTTTACCTTTCGGCGAAGGTACTCGTATACAAGTAACGACGCCGGTGGCCGTCGCGGTGTGGACTATGTACTTATCGTTGTTGGCTGATTGGAGAAGAATGTAGTCTCACAGAAATCGTTTCATCTGCTTGGCGTTACGTTTTTCGTGCTGCTTATTTCGACGCCTGCCGTATTTGAGAGCAGGAGGACATGTGGGAGCCGGGTGATCCTGATGGAGTAGTCGCAGTCGGTCGGGAATTCGACGTCGATGCTGCAACGCCAAGGGAGACCTGGGACAAGGTGTTCGACATATGCCTCCGGGGCCTGGAGAGTGCAGGGCACAAGACGCTCAAGTCCAAAAGGCGTGTCGCGGTGAGTCCTGCGGTGAAAGCATGTCGCCCAACTCGCGATTCTCCAACAGGGGTACGACGTCCTGACACGTTCTGCGTTGTATGCGTTTCCCAGTAACCGTTTTGTGGTTCGCCGTTTGTGGTTCGGCTCCTATGTTCGCGTTCGCAGCTGAAGACGGATAAATCGAGACACGTCTACTGTGAGATATTATGCAAGCACAACGGGTCGCCGCGCTTCAAGGAGTACGTTCCCACGGCAGGGAAGAAGAATCGGGAGCGTAGGTCCCAAAGAGTGAGTGGATGCACAACACATGGGAGACATGCGTAAAATGCACATGGCAGATTTGTGCAAAACAGCGTTCAGTGGCGGGCGAGGTCCTGTGTTTCGTCGGGTTGATTTTCTTCGGAGTTCGTTCACATCTTGGCTCGAACCGAAGAACTAGAGCGCGCTGTGATTCCGTTCCGCCGGTGGTACAGGTGAGGTGCCCGTTCAAGGTGGGCATATACTGGAGGTCGGGCACCCTAACACCCGCGGTGACCCAGGTGGGTTTTTCGTGTACACGTCACATTGTGTCGTTCTCTGGTGAAAATGTTGGGGTTAGAAAAAGACGTTGACGCTGCTACGCACGATGTATGTAT